GAGGTATCTAATAAATAAACAGTTCTACTTATTACTGCCTACTTTGCACTTCACTTCGTGACCGGCACCCCCCCCCCTCCGTATCTCACTGGACGACTGGAACGCCCCCCCCCCTCTTCTCGGCGCTCGGGTGTTTGGCTGCCTCTGCCTCGTCGCGATCCTAGTGATCGAATCGGAAAGGACGGGGAGTAACGGCCCTGTCAGGGTGCGCGGCGACAACAGCAACCATACTATACCACGGCCAATAATAGTAGTCGAGTTGGTCAGTTAGGCGATAGGTAGAGATAGCAAAAACCGTTACACTAGGTTTAATAATTCGATATCTACGTCATTACACAGTCGATACAGCACTGCGTGTCAGCAGGTAATACAATTTTTGTGCTATGGTACATCTCTCATTCTATATGGTTCTACGCCGGTATATAATTTATAGTAACATTATTTATTATTGACTAAAATATTGTAAATGTGTGCATGTAACTGGTCCAACATACATAAAAAAGTACATAATTTCTATTGTGTTCAGTGTATAGATCAGTGGACATATGTACCACTTCATCACAGAAAAGGTTAAATTACGCCATCTCAACGAATGTGAGACAAACCTCACCAACACTGGGTGTACATGATATATGTGTATAGTCAACTGGGGTTGTGTGTTGTGCCCACTACATGTGCATGGCAGGGTATGCATACTTCTGTAATAGTTTTTAGATAATTTCTAATAACTTATATGCGTTGCCTACAAATCATAGTGACCACAACTGAGAAAATTCAATTAATCACCAGGCAGTCAGTACAACATTTTGGCGAGGAGGAGAAAAACTACCTTAATCACTTCAGTGACTTCACTATTCCTGTGACGACTACACTGACGCAGTACTTCAGCGAGAATTCAATGGGCAAATTCAGCAGAGTCATGCAACGACCTTCAAATTTGTGAGAACAATATCTGTGAGCACGAAGACAAATGTGCTAGCAGATTATCGGTGCTGGGGAACTTTTGGCATAAACCATTGGACATTATAGATGAAAATTAAATACCACAGCACAATCACTCAATCATTGCATCAGCATCAGAAGCAGCAGCGCAGAGGATCAACATCAAGACCAGTGGAGGTCCGGAGGACATCGTAACATCGTCGAGGGATCAAGCCTATTGTATTGTAGTGTATTTTATATTGTATTGTAGTTAGTTTCTGATGTTAATTATTATGCTTGTATTGTTTTGTATTTCAGGTTATGCATTATGCATTATGTATTATGGTATTTTATTGAGTTGTTGTGTTGCGTTTTATTATTTGTTTATCTTTTCAGGGTTTCAGGAAATTTGTCTTGTTTGAACAGATGGTTTTACTTGACAATTCACGTCAAGTATTGAAATTATATGAGTGGTCAGTGAGATTTGTCGGCGGCAGTGTAAGCCATAGGTATGTACTACCATGGTACTGGCTTCGGTACCATAGGTAATAGTGGTCAGTGCAAAGTCTTGTAAACATTTTTTTTTATTATGTGGGGAGAGGGGATGTGTTCAGTGAAAGGGTTATTGTATTAGTATGGTCGACGGTACGTGGAACTTTATTTTGATGTCAGTCTGTATTCGTCAGGAAGAGGTGTATGTGTGTGTGTGTGTGTGTGTGTGTGTGTGTGTGTGTGT